GAACAGAAAGACTGACAGAAAGACAAGCAATGATCTGGCACTGAATGCTCAGGCTGAACTGAATATAAACCAGAGGAAACAGGTGAGGGGAATAAATTATAATTTAAACAGGGAAGGAAGAGGGCAGGTGAGAGGAATTACTAATTAGGGAGGAGCAAACAGGCCAGATCATGACAGTTTGACAGCAGGGCTGATACAAATCTTTGAGTTTCATTGTTCTGTAAGCCTAGACTGCTAATATGGGCCACCACATGGTCTCCTTCCAGTGGGATTATTTATTTATGAATCTGTAGCTCTTTGACGTGCTGAATAAGAAGATTGTTGAACTTTTTTAAGGCACACTGAAGTTCTATTGAATATATTCATCCAATTCCAACTCTTAAATGTAATAATCTTTATCATAAAACTGATTTTATTGGAACATAATAAACTTGCTTTCAAAAGTAGCTATCATGCTCCAGCAGGCTGAGATGTTAAAAGCACCAAAACGAAATATGCTAATGATTAATCTATTCACTTTCCATTTTAATTATTACTATGCTATATTTAACAATGCAAGCAAAAAATGTACTCAGTTTCTCCATATTATGTAACGGAATTCAGTAGGGATGACAGTAGTTTCTCGTATTTTCATTGTTTTTTTCAGCTTGTAAAATAAATAATACACAAATTCAAAATGATAAAGAAAAAAATTATTTGTCTAATTTGATTCAAAGTTTATGTTGTATTTTATTTTATTTGCTGCATAAATTTTACTGCACGCCAAGAACGTGTAAATTTAAAAAGTAAATAAAATATTAAAGAGGAATTCTAAACTGATGGTTTCCCATGTCAGACCAATAGAATACATGCCAGTTTGTTAAATATCATATGTAGCTTAGATTTCACAGTCATCATGAGCAATGAAAACATTGTATTTGGTGTAAAGGGGCGGGATCTAGCAGTGCTCTGATCGCTCATGTCGCTAAAATTCACATGTATTGTGATGTCTGAGCAGGTTATGATAATAAGGAGTAACTATTAGTATATATTTTGTCTACACAAAACTACCAAATCTCGAACTTGTCTCCATACAATTAGTCAAGGCCTGACAAAACCAGACAATCACCAACTGAGATCAATACCAAGACTGGGAAAATAACAGGTCGGAACTGTTCTAGAAACCAAAACTGGTCTCTGGACAAAGAGTGGCCTCTAGACCTCCATCTCAGTCAAGGATCAAGATCATACATGATCATGAAAAGTTGACATAATACTTAGTACATTAATCTACTTTAAAAATAACCATTAGCAGCAGCCCATTTCTACTTGTACTGTATATGAGCTCCTACTAAGATTCTATGCCCCAACATCATCTATGATATACTGCCACCAATATGTGGGAAAAATATTACTTTAAGTGTTGAAAAAAAGTAATATTAATATATTCCCAAGAAATGAGTCTTGTGGAAGTAAAATAAAAGAAGACTGGTAAGGCTAAAGTTTGGATTAATAGTTAAATGTGAAAAAAAACTAAATAATGACAAAATTTACAAATTCACTTAATATGACTAGATGAAGATAGCCTGACGTAGTCTGACTCAATTCTAGTCAGAATATGAGTCTGATACTGCTCCATAGAGCTGTGATTATGGGGCGCGTTTTGAACGAACCAGGAAAAAAATGCCTCTGTACTCAATTGGATAGACCTACAACCAATAAGAGCAACGGAGTGCGTGCACTGTTAAAAAAGTAAATGGCAATTGTTGTTCTAACACACAATTGTATTGTAATCCGACTCAGAAATATAA